TGTTCGGACTTCGTGATGTCATTTGCGGCTGCGTGCCACTGGAAATTGCTTGGCGTTTCACGTGTGGCACGCGTGCCGTAGGTTGCCGACACCTGAGGTAGACAAACACTAACAGAAGAACATAAGTTGAGAAATGTATATAATAGGCGAATCTATCTAATCCTATTGACAAATCTATCTACTCCTATTATTATCATTATTTTATTTCATTCGCTTTAGCCATGACCTAGAGCAGGGGTCGGCAACCTTTTGCTGACTATGTGCCGAATCAAGGTCAATATCCCTTTTCTACAATATATTCTATATAGTAATATATAGTAAATATATTTTAGCATATATTAAAATTGAAGCAGTTAACTAACTGCGTTTTAGTAGTTATTGGGTCGGACTTCGTGATGACATTTGCAGATTCGTGCCATTGGAAATTGCTTGACGTGCGCGTATGGGCACCAGGGATGTAGTTTGCCGACCCCTGGTGTAAACTGTCATTTAAAGTTCTTAAAAGTGCTTTGCGTTCGTCAATAGGTAAAACGGTGTTCTCTAGCAAAACGAAAGGTGTATTCTGCAAGCATAACATAGGAAAGATTTTGAAACTTGCTATTAACCTCTGACCTTGCACTAGGCGAATATGATTTTTCGATCTTATAGTTCGATCACTGCAAAGCGATTTGATTCGAAAAAATAAGTTGGTCGAACACACTTTTCGCATTAAATACCTGTGCTTTCGAATTACTGCCAGCCTTCTTCAATTCACATTTTAAAAAAATAACTTTCAGATGAACACAACAATTTTGTCTTAGAAAAAATCAACACTGATGATGACACTCTGGTAATATTGAAAGTACTCGTAATAAATGAAAATGTATCAACGTGGTAATTTTTCCTTTCAAAAGGATACTAAGAATCTTGTCTGTGAATATGAGAGGATCCTATTGAAAATAAGTAGACAAAACTTGTCTAGTATCTGTCTATATTTCTGAGATGAGGTATTATGTACATTATTTACATTATTGAAACTCATCTTTTTCGCCATATTTATTACAACATTTCGGCCGTTGTACGCCCCAGCCTTCTTCAGGTAGTTGGAATATCGAACTGTACCCTTTATTTCGCTCACTGCCATGTTTAATGGATGTCATTTATCAGTTAACGCCTATTAATTTCCCTCTGAAAGTTCTCCACTGCCTTAAACGGGTATTGAACTCACACTCTTTTAATCCTATCACTGGATCTAACCAACGCCTTTATCCACTATGCCAGAGGACATCTGGGTATGAGTTTCTGGGTATTATAAACCCAATGCTTTCAGCAACAATTTTTAGCAGTGCTCATATTGCAACTTTGATGTTATCATTGCTTTTCTCTGGCACTCCTTATTACTGGTTCCGATATTGTATTTATTTCTATGCCTCGTCGGCTCAGGAGATTTTTGTGGCCTAGCATATGTGCTGATTCCTTAAGTTTACGAATTTTCCAATGGTGTTCCTTGTCTAAATTATCCAACAAGACATGTTTAATACATACATACATATATATATATATATATATATATATATATATATATATATATATATATATATATATATATATATAAAGTATATATAAATTAACTAATATGTTGATACAATATGTTAACCCTTACGCCCCTGATTGAAAATAATTGTTTCCATAGTAATTAATTTTACGAATGAATATGCTTATAAAGCTGCGTAAATTTCAAGATTATTTATTCAAAAAAATTCGCTTGAAGATGAAACAGAGCTTCATACTTTAATTCAATTTGATTTTTATAATTAAATTGAAGTGTTTAGCTCCTGTTTTTTGAAACATGAGAACTCTTATTAATCATATTTTTAAAAAATAATTTTAATTTAGTCTTTACATATGTATTGAGCACTGTTTTTTTTTAAATAAAAAAATAAAAACAAAAATGCTAAAGAATTTCGGATTATTAATCTCACGTTTTCTTTCCTATTTTTCTATATTTTTGCGCGCACACACACACACACACACACACACACACACATATATATATATATATATATATATATATATATATATATATATATATATATATATATATACATTCAGTTAATCTACACTTTCAGTTAGTCAAACCACCTTTCTATAATTAAATCTGGAATTATTATTGCTTTCTATTTGAGAGCATTAAGAATCTATAGACCCCAATATTAACCTAAAGATGAACCATACATAGAAAACACATTCAAAAACCTACAATAGCCATAGCCTGTAATAATAAATTATATGCGAATTTGTATTTATGCAAATTTGTAAAGAAACTAGAGTTTGTCTATTAATATTTACTTAAAAAGCTTTATATATTTCAGTATATTCACTGAAAAAATAGTTTTTTAAATTAAAAATAATATACAAGTGTCTGCAAATGTAGATATACAGTAAATAATATACCAGTATTGATATATCTTTATAATCAAAGCAATACATATGTGCCCACGTTTTGTTTTTAATTACTGTATACCTGCAATTGCATTACCCGGTATAATATAATATGTTTCTCTCCTTTATGGGATCAGGTTTTATCAGCTTAGAATTTTAAAAGGATTAAAAAAAAAATCATAAATTAAACTCTTGTCAACATGGGGCGCAAATGGCTACCTTTCGGGACGGATCTGTGTACCCGGGCGCATCGGTTGAGAAACGCTGATATAAATTAATAAAATGTAAATTAATAAACTAAAAGGGAAACATTTTATGAATCATGTTAAAATTTCCCGTTTACACTATTTACATCGTTTGAACAGGTGTCCTCATATTCCCGAGGATTCGGATGTTACAACCTCCGGCCTTCTTCAGGTTCTGTCTATATTTTTTAAATGAGTGAGGTATTGTGACTGTTTACACTATTTACATTTTTCGGAAAGTTATCCTCATCTTTTTTTGTTATATTCACAACATTTCGACCGTTGTACGCTCCTGGCTTCGTCAGGATCTGTCTATATTTCTGAGATGAGATATTGTTACTATTTATACTATTGACGTTATTTCGACTGTTGTCGTCATCTTTATTGTAATAATCGCCACATAGCGGCCGTTGTACGCTCCGACCTTCTTCAAGGTCTGTCTATATTTCTGAGATGAGTGATGTATTGTAACAATTTACACTATTCATATTGTCTGGAATATTGTCATTATCTTTTTGCCTATTCACGGTGTTTCGACCGTTGTACGTTCCGACCTTCTTCAGGATTTGAATATATTCCTGTGATGAGGTATTGTAAGTATTTACTCTATTTACATTGTTCGGACTGTTGTCCTCATCTTTATTATCATATTCACGACGTTTCAGCCTTTGCACTCTCCGGCCTTCTTCGAGATCTTCCTGAATTCCTGAGATGCGCTATTGTAAGTATTTACATTATGTACATTGTTTGGACTGTTGTCCTCATCTTTATTGGTATATTCACAATGTTCTGGCCGTTGTACGCTCCTGGCTTCGTCACAATTTGTCTATATTTCTGAGATGAGATATTTTAATTATTTACACTATTTACATCGTTCGAACTGTTGTCCTCATCTTTTTTGTCATATTCCCAAAGTTTCGGCCGTTGTACTCTCCGGCCTTCTTCAGCTGATATACGTTGGAATTTAGAATTCGGATCATTTATTCCAATATATGTTGCCAGAAGACGGCAGCTTACAAAAGATATGGAAAATAGTCCGAGCGATACCAGTAGTGTATATAGTTACATTTTGTTACAGTTTTTTTGTGTATATATATACGTAACTAGTGAGTTAGTCAAAATGACTTAACTCCCTTTATAGTCTACCAATAGAAGGATAACCAATCAGAAGCCGCAGAACATTGTATCCGTCGTGTATAAAGGCGGCCATTTTTGTTTCTCCTACCCGAATGACCAGTGCCAACTTGTCTGGCGAAGATGACAGAAGGAAGTACTACGCTCTGCTACTTTGCTGCGATATCCACTGCTAACCCGAACTACGCTTTCCTACTGTCTCCGAAATATTCACTGCTAACCTCTGGATTCTATACTCGAAGACGACCGTCAAAATGTCTAACAGATTTAAGAAATATCGACTAATGTTAATATTTCTCCGGTTCAAAAAAGGCAATATATTAAGCTCTTTATTGGTGGGCTCGTTTAAATTTCAAGAAACTGTAAGAAAAATCTAAGCATCCTATGGAATTATTCCTATTTATTATGATTTTTGTTTACACATATCTTCATGTAACTTTCTGTCTTTTCTTACTAAATAGAATGAGAAGTTCTGGGCACAAGCTTCCTCTTTGAGTAAGTTTAATCATTGGCCAAATATTGTTGACATTTTAAAATACAATCAGCTTAATTTATAAAACGTAAAAATATACTTTTGCATTAATTATTACTTTTTTGAATTACGGCTGCTGTTAATTATTAAGTATAACTCAAGACATCAGTGTTAAGATAAAACAGTATTTAATTACAATCGCAAATAAATGCTTAACAAAGAAGTAAAAATCAACCAGGGATAACCATTTCAGTGAATATATGGTTAGTAGCGCGGCTCTGCTTAACGTCTGGTAAATCTTAATTCTAAACCCAAATCATCGACGCACACTAATTCGACTGGATAGTTCCACTCAATAGTCACTCAATAATCACCCCAGTCAGTAGACTGACACCGCTATTTATACACCTTGCGGAAATAATATATTCACTTGCTGCTTGGTCAATGAACGTCGAATGTTTCCTTATAAAGAAATATAATATTACCATCAGTGTTACAGAGAGTGAGAACAGATACTACACTTTGATCCCAGAACTGTGCCAGATAAGGGATTATTTGAAAACTACCAAAAGCAAGCAACAACTAAAATGGATAACACATGTAACTCCAAGACAAAAAAAAAAAAAAGATGTTGACATTCCACACCACTTCAAATAAAAAGTCAGGAAGGAAACCCCGATCTATAATGTAAAATGTAACAACAACTACTGGATTTGAGAAACCTGAATTTAGAGCAATGACTGGCGAAAAGACGTAGGCTGGTTTTTGAGTGCATTTTTTAGGAGAATACGCGTCTTCGCATAAGGTAGCTGAGATAGATAGATAGATAGATAGATAGATAGATAGATACGGATGGGCTGAGATAGATAGCTAGATATGAATCGGCTGAGATAAAGGCCGAGATAGGAAGAATAGAGAGAGTGATTGATTGGCGAAGATAGATAGATAGATAGATAGATAGATAGATAGATAGATAGATAGATAGATAGATGTGTGACGGAATGAGATAGATAGACAGATAGAAAGATAGATAGATAGATAGATAGATACGGATAGATGAGATAAATAGGTAGATATGAATCGGATGAGATAAAGGCCAGGGAGATAGGGAGAATAGGATGAGATTGAAAGGCGGAGATAGATAGAATAGAGAGATGATTGATAGATAGGAGATAGATAGATAGATAAATTATTATAAGACCGAGATAGATAGATAGATAGATAGATAGATAGATAGATAGATAGATAGATAGATAGATATGAACAGAATGAGATAGATATGAACAGACTGAGATACATTAGGATAGATAGATAGATAGATAGATAGATAGATAGATAGATAGATAGATCAGAATGTGACAACCAGCTAACTCGCTAGGTAGGTAGACAGGTGGATATTTTGGTAGATAGATAGATAGATAGATAGATAGATAGATAGATAGATGTGCGTCCGTGAGAGAAAGACGGAGTGAATGGAGAAACTTGTTCGGTTTTCAAACAGGCTCATTCTAGGGGCTAAGTAAACCAAACTGCTCATGTTAATAAAAAAAAAGAAAGAAAAGAAAAAGGGTCTAGTCATTCTCCCCACTCAAGGGCACACTTACCAAATTCAGGGATCCACCTCATTTTAAGTCCTTCCCCAGATGCATTTACCTTCCTAACTTTTCACAACCTTTCGATATTCCATCACCACCCCCAGCTAAAGCAACCTGCTAATACGCGGACGCCGTCGGCCATGTCTTTGGCATCGGTGTCAACTGCAGAAACAATTAGACAGCTCGAATTACCAGACACGCCGTCCCTCTCGGCCATAAAATCAACTGCTTCTCCCCGACGTCATTTGCCTATTATGCGTTTATTTTAACCCGGCGACTGTTCAAAGCAAACATGTAAGATAAACACGCACACATTCACCAGAAGAAAAGGAGAGTATACAAAGAGTGTACAAAGACAAGAACGTAAAGGAGGAGAATGTACAAAACAGCGAGAAAAATCTCTACCTCAACGTACTTGTAAAATATTCAACGTCCAAAAATTAGTACAATATAAATTGCTGGAAATTTTGAGGCAGAGAATAACCAGGCTATATAAACAAACGGTCACATGCTGAAGGCAAAATATATTACGTGCTGTCCTTAGATGTTTTACCAGAGACCGATAAAGATGGGTTAATCAGTGCACGGACGTTCGAATGAGAGCAATATCAGATCATTCTTATAAAACTTTTAAAAGCATCTCTTTTCTTCTTGAGGTGCCGCGTGTTTTCAGGACGTAGGCGATCATGGCTCTCCACTTCGCCCTCTCCCTTGTAGCTCTCAATAAGTTTCGTACCTCTGCCATCTTCCCCAGACTACATTCTGTCATCCACTTGCCCGCTAGGTATTGTTATTCATCATGACGGTCGTCTTCGAGTATAGAATCCAAAGGTTAGCAGTGAATATTTCGAAGACAGTAGGAAAGCGTTGTTCAGGTTAGCAGTGGATATTTTGGTAAAAGTAGCAGAGCGTAGTTCGTCCTTCTGTTTCTCTTCGCCTGACAAGCTGAACTGGACATTCGGGTAGAGTGAACAAAAATGGCTGCCTTTATACACGACGGATTGAATATTCTACGTCTTCTGATTGGTTAACCTTCTATTGGTGGATTATAAAGCGAGTCAAGGCATTTGGACTAACTCACTAGTTATATATCTATATACATATACACAGAAAACTGTAACAGGTATGTCATGTGTTACTTTCCCTTGACTCTCTTTCCCGCTAATCGACCTGTGAGTATCAGATTCTCCAAGCTCTTCTTTCTCATAACGTATCCCAGAAATTTCAGCTGCCTCTTCCTGATGTTAAGTATAAGCATCTCCTTGTTTGCATACTCTCGTTGCCAACACAGTCCGTCCTCATCGTTGCCTGTGATATCCTCAGCATCCTACTGTAGAACCATATCCCCGTTGTCTCGAGTTTCTTCTTCATAGAATCTTTAAAAAATTCTATTATATTTTCTTAGGCTACAAGAAAATGCATTTCATCTTTACTTAATTTACATTTGGTTGAGGGCCACATTATCGAAGTTAAGCAACTTCGAGCCTGGTCAGTACCAAGATGGGTGAGAGTTCGGGAATAACAGGTGCGATAAGCTAGGATGTGCGGATGGTGTAATGGCTAATGGCTCGTAAGTGCTAATCAGGGACCCGAGTTCAATTCCCGTTGGGTACATTATATACACTTACGCGTAAATTCCTTTCTCAAAACTAAGAATCTACCTCATCTCCCCTTAGCTATGGGTTAATTAGTGATATTTATATCATTAAGCTATTATTATCTACAAAAAAGTCTTACAATCAAAATATATTATCTGGTTTTTAATAACATTAAAGTGTTGATAAGCTGTAGAATACGAATCAATCAATGAAATACTGATTAGCTACACAGGCATATCTTTTAGATTTATTTACATTCTCTGGAATAAAAATGTATAGAAACTACTGTGGTCACAAAGTGAAGGATCAGTTTAATATATCGATTGTAATATAGAATTGATCCCTCACTTTATACCAACATTATAATTTCTTGTTTCTTTATCAAATTATCATTAGGTATGAATCCACCTCTTTTCCCCAGCTATAGGTTAATTAGTCAGACTTGTATCACTCAACCATTATTTATGTAAAAAATAAAAATTCTTACAATCTAAAAATATTTTCAGGCTTTAAATAACCTGCAAAGTGTTGATAAGCCGTAGAAAATGAATCAAACATTAAAATACTGATTAGCTACACAGGCAAGTCTTTTATATGTATTTACATTTTCTGGAATATAAATGTATAGTACTACCTTGGCTACAAAGTGAGGGATGGGTTTATATATTGACTGTAATATAGAATTGATCCCCCAATTTATATGCACATTATAATTTCTTGTTTATTTATCAAATTCTCATTAAGTGTGAATCCTAATTCTAGTTAGCTTTGTTCTATTAATTCACTTAGGCGCAAATACTCTTGGCAAAGGCATGGACCCACATTCATTTTATTCCTAGATATGGGTTAATTAGTAAAATTTTTATTAGTAAATCATAATTATCTCAAAACAAAATTCTCAGTATCTAAAAAAAATATTGCTTTTTTTGTTTTTGTTTTTTGTATTAAATAGCCTGCAACGGGTTGATAAACTGTAAAAATAGAATCAATCCGTCAATGTAGGTTTAAGGTCTTTTTGCGGAATAATAATGGCGGCTATTGTTACTGCCATGCAGTAACTACGTATTTAAGACGTTGCATACTGAGAAAGACAATATTCGGAAAATGCTATTGAATTTTCAACATCATGATCCTTTCAGTTGTAACTTCCAACATACGGGGCTTGATTCGGAGCGAGAAGGGCAGTTAGCGATAGACATAGAAAAGTTCAAAGTGGACATGTGTTGCTTACAAGAGACAACAGTTAGACCTATTCTGAACAGTAACATCAGCAAAAAAAATAAAACAGCTGACATCTGAGGATTTACTGCTCCAGGAAGTATCTGACTCCCCCGGCTATACTCTATCTTCACAGATTACCTTCGGCCTAGGCAGTTGGTCATTGTATCAACAGTCCAGCTGTTGTCCGCTTGTGCAGATCGTCCGCCTCGTAGTGCAGGGCAAACACTACACTTCAGGTGATTTAGCTCATCCGCGGAAGCGGTTTACAGGGTGTGGCGCGTGGAACCAACACGTGAGAGATTTAGGGGATGGGTGTTGACCAGTGTTGCCAGTCCACCTTAATAATAAGTTGCAGCACCCTAGCAGCAAAGGTACTACTTCTACCCACTGAACCCTACACGCATAAAAACATATACATTTTACTTTTGATGTCGGAGTAAACAGTTCGTCATCACATTTACCAATATATTGCTATCATCATCATCTATCATCATCATCATCATCATCATCATCATCGTCGTCGTCGTCGTCATCATCATCATCATCGTCAAAACTGTTTCGATTTGAGGTCATGAATTAACATGTCCTTCTCATCTTCAGTGACATTGTATACTGATTCGACAATATGTTGCCAGCCTTCTGTTTCCTGGTCTGATTCAACTCTGACCATTAACCATTAATATATATATATATATATATATATATATAAAGAAGAAATATAGTCTTAAGATGTGCTATGTTTATGGAATAAAGTGCTCAATATCAGAGATAGAGCGTGTGTAAATAAAAAAGTGAACATAGAAGTCAACACTTAGAGGCGACAGTCTGTTTCATGCTATATGCAATGGTCAGGCCTGACGATTGCATCTAGCACGAAACACATATATGTATGTATGTATGGGGAAAATGCTTCTATTAATCGCTTTCCCCATCATGCGCAAATGATTATATTTTCGAGGGGGCGCTGAAAACTCTCAGCATCATACTCCAAAATTCTCTTCTCTGGGCATGTGTTTAGAGCTTGTGCGTCAAGTCTGGTTTAACACACCCACGTATCTGTATCCAAGGTGGATCAGTATGTCCGTAGCCTGGTTCTTAACATTTAGCAGAAATTTTAGCTGTATAATGGCCGCTCTACAGGATCCCAATTTGGGAACCTCGAGGCGGTGTAATTGTTAACAAGCTTGTCTCGCTAGAACGATTACGACTGATTAGTGAGTTCCATCCTCACTAGGGGCCCCCTACTTTCGGCCTTATGCCACATCTATGGTACGCTTGGAAAATCACGATAGGATTCAGAATTTCGAGTGAATTAAGTGCATTGACAATGAAGTAGATTACATTGAAAAATAATTGTTTAACGTTCAAATTTAGTGTTTTATCATAATTAGATTGTGAATTTATGGATGTTTCTGCCTATATATTTCTAGAATTAATTATTTCAAATATATACGATATCATTATTTAAAATATTTGAGAAAAGCTTCCATCGTCGTTTTTTGAAAAATCGAGAATGAATTCATGTGAGAACCGTTTTTCCTTTGGCAAATTTTCGCACAGCCAATAAATGTTATGACTGAATATTAGCTGTGTATATTTTTTCAACATAGTGAAAAGTGCTATAAAATAAACAGAAACCTATATATATATATATATATATATATATATATATATATATATATATATATATATATATATGGGGAGGGCAGACATCGGGTTTCTCTACTTACAAAAGAGCTTATTATTTATCAATATTTTATAGTCTGTCCGAAGAAGAATTGTCTGTTGTTTTCTGTTTTGCTTCGTTTCACTTCGCTTCGAGCCGTTTCCATGTTCATAATCGGAATTTATTTATTTTTTTCTTCATGTTTAAGGTCTTTCTCCTCTTTTTTTGTCAGCCATTTATCGCGTTCATTAGCACCTTCTTCTTTTTCTTTCTTTTTTTTTCTTTTTTTGTTCTTGTTTTCTTCTTGTTTTTACACTTTTTCTTCTACATCTTCCTCTTTTTCTTCTTCTTCTTTTCCTCGTGTTTTTCTTCTTCTTTTTCGTTTTCTTTTTCTAATTCCTCCCCTTCTATTTTTCTTCTTCTTCCTCTTATTTTTTTTTCTTTTTATTCATTATTTTTATCATAAATTCTAAGTTCCATATACTTTCGTTCTTGATCCTTTCCTTGTTATTATTATACAACTCCCTTTTTCTTGTCTTTTTTTTCCTCTCTACTCTTCTTTTTCTTCTTCCACTTCTTCTTTTTCTTCTATTTTCTCTATCTTCTTCTTTTTCTACTTCTTCCTCTTCTTTTTTTGTTTTTCTTCTTCCTCTTATTTTTTTCTTCTTCTTCGTCTATTTATTATTTTTATCAAAAGTTCTTAGTACAATATGCTGTCTTGATACTTTTTGTTACTATTATACAACTCCCTTTTTCTTTTCTTTTCTCTTTTCTTTCCCCTCTTCTTTTTCTCCTTCTTTCAATTATAGCATTATTTCTGTTATCAATAATAATAATAACAATTCTCTTTATTCTTCTAACAATGTTAACTCGTAACCCTTATCGAAGATCATGTGACAGCAAGCCTCCTTATTGATACATTAATCCCTACTTTATATTCTGTATAATTACTATTATGTATTTGGTACACATTAACTATTCATTCCAGTACTATATACCGACATTTCTGTGCGATCACAAATCCACACCAATCTCATCACTCTCACAGTGTAAATTTTATAAAATTATGCTATCTGCTGCAAAGTTTGGTGAAGAAAAGCATGACAATCAATGGGACAAGGTTCGAGTGAGAAGAAAATAATTAATTTGGACCTAATTTTGAGATATAATTCTAAGAGGTTCTTTAGTGTCTGTCTATATTTCTGAGATGAGGTATTATGTACATTATTTACATTATTCGGATTATTGTCCTCATCTTTGTCGCCATATTTATTACAACGTTTCGGCCGTTGTACGCTCCGGCCTTCTTCAGGTGGTTGAACTAAACCCTTTATTTCGCTCACTGGGGTAGACTGTTCTAGTTCCACGTGCCATGTTTGATGGATATCAGTTATCAGTTATCTCCTGCTAAATTTCCTCTGAAATTTCTCCACTACCTTAACCAGCAATTAAGAGGTGGTTCCACGCCCCTCAAAAATTCCTGATCAAAGACTTTGCTGCTGGACGTAGTTTATCGTCTTATCCAGGACGTTGATGTAGTTTATCGTCATACCCGGGACGCCGAAGATGTCGTGTTTTCATTATTTTTATCATAAATTCTAAGTTCCATATACTTTCGTTCTTGATCCTTTCCTTGTTATTATTATACAACTCCCTTTTTCTTGTCTTTTTTTTCCTCTCTACTCTTCTTTTTCTTCTTCCACTTCTTCTTTTTCTACGATACAAACAGATACAGTATTTGTATATATTTATCATTTTACATGACTTTATTTGGGTCCTGTCACTGGATTTAACCAACGCCTTTATCCACTGATCCTTGAGGACACATGGCACAGTTGATAAAATAGCAGTCTGGGAACTAGCGATAGCTTGTTGGAGCAGTTACCGTGAAAGTATTTGTAGAAAAGACAGAGCGAGGCGACGGCACGTTTGCGAGAGAGAGGCTGGAAGCGATATGCCAGATCAGAGCCAATCACATTGCATATCCGTCTCTGGATTTTGTCGAGGACATTATGGCGAACAGCGGGGGCACCAGACTATATATGGCAGTAGAATTCCATGCAAGGGTGAATGGTTGATTTATAGATTTTGAAGGATGGACTCGGGCGAGAAAAATTTTCTGGGGTGACACAGGGAACCAACTTGCGTTGGATGAAGCTATGTATTACGTGTGTTGAGCAAATGTAAATATGACTGAGCAAATGTCTTTAATAGGGATTGACAAGACGCTATTATTCAAAAACTAAACGAAAAATACTGATACTATTCCCATCTATTTCACTCTCTCTCTCTCTCTCTCTCTCTCTCTCTCTCTCTCTCTCTCTCTCTCTCTCTCTTACAAGGAAATCTTTTCTCATGAGTAAAAACCACACTTACGATATGAAGATGCTAGGAAAAAATCGATTAGCTGATCAACTGATACGCAAGTTTATTTAAATTGCTTGCACCAACCCCCCCACACACATACACACACACACACACACACACATATATATATACACACACACACACACACATATATATATATATACACATACACACACACACACACACACACACACATATATATATATATATATATATATATATATATATATATATATATATATATATCAGTGAGGTGTGCACGCATTTGTCAAAGTGTGCTGCAAAACGGTTGGCCTGACCAACAAGCCCTTCCCAAAAACGTTGACGTTAGCACCTTTGGTCAAAGTTTTGGAAGTGGGCCAGGCGAGAATTTCTCAGCACCTCGACAAATATATTTTGTTCGAATTTGCATATATACTTATATATAAATATACATTTTTTACACACTCACACACACGAACATATGCACCTTAATGTATATACAGCGTGCTCTGTAAATATGAATATATTTATATATATGAATATATATATATATATGAATAAATATGAATATATATATATGAATAAATATGAATATATATATATGAATAAATATGAATATATATATATGAGTTTTATAACTTTATATATATATATATATATATATATATATATATATATATATATATATATAAATGTTGGGAAAGTATGAATCTCTTATTACATTAAGGACAAAGAAAACAATCACTTGTTGCAAATTGAACTCATAAAGTAGGTTAATTGCTGTGGGACAGATAGAAAGACTGACAAACATGGTGGAAGGCACAGAGACGGCAATAAGTTGACAGCAGACACTATCATGTCGATTAGAATTAAGGACAAGAAAAACAGACATCGTTTGGGATAGTGGAGAGAAATAATAAATCGACAACCTCATGGGACACATGAATTCATTCCGTGATCTTGATTCTTGTTTCAGAGGAAAGATATTTAAAAGTATCGACAGATCATTGCCGCTGCGTTGTTCTTTGTTATGAAGAGAATGTTCCAGCCGATATATTCCTTAGTTTTCCTCCTGTACGAGGACAGATCAAAACATATCGTGACTGCTGCTATATATATATATATATATATATATATATATATATATATATATATATATATATATATATATACTACGACACATATCAATTCGTCATTTAATATTCCTTCGAATTAGTTCCTTTCTGAAGCCACACATTTTATCCAGCGTCATTTCCATTCATGGAAGCATTCCCGGAACTGCTTTTTTTAGAAGAGGGAGAATTCTCTTAGATTTCCTCGACTTCCTGAAACCGTCATTTCAAGTGGCATTTGATTTTTAGAAAAGGGAAAAAGACGCAAGAAGCGAGATCTGAGAAATATTGTGGTTGTCGGACCTGGGGTATGTTAGGCTTCGTTAAAAACCACTGCACAACTCATGGTCACAGATGGAATCTATGTGGTGTGTTAGGAAAATCCCACTCTACACACTTTCCTTATAAGAACTTCTATAAATGACGGAAACGAATGAGAATGTTATAATTTGGAGTACATTTTTTTTTATCATAAGTCATCTATGTCTTTTTTTTAATTCGTAAATGAAATATAACTTGTTTTCTCTATTGTTTAGATAACAATAAATATTTCATGTAAAAAATAAATTTTCATGTTCATATACCTCTATATTATTATATATATATATATATATATATATATATATATATATATATATATATATAAGTATATGAACATGGAAATTTAATTATATATATATATAAGTATATGAACGAAAATTTATATATATATATATATATATATATATATATATATATATATATATATATATATATATATATATATATATATATATATATATATATATATATATATATATATATATATAGATAGATAGGGAGGCACGGTGGAGTAATGGATAGCGGCTTGGATTGAGCCGAGTTCGAATTCAGTCGAATCCATTACTTTCACTTACGTTGCTACTACCCTTGGGAAAGGTGTGAATCCTCCTCTTCTGCCTTCTAAATAGCAGGACAGCAGGCTATTTTTCTATAGCTTTGGATGGCAACTTGGATGCAGGGGGTCGTTTGGGGAAATTGTTGCACGTATTCGGCCCTTCAAAATGTGTGGATGGTTCTGCACGAAACGTTCAGTACTATAATCAAATCTCATGTGCTGTTGTCGGGCTGTTGGTTTCTTAGGAACTGATCTGCTTGACCCTCATCAGAGTATATATATTAGATAATATATATATTATATATTAGATAATAATAAATATTTCATATATATATTTATTATATTTATATATATATAAATATATTATATTTTTATATATACATTTATATATTATTTTATATATATATATATTATATTTATATATATATATATTTATATTATTTTCTATATATATATATTTATATATATATATTTATATTATTTTCTATATATATATTTATATATATATATATTAAATATTAATAAATTTTCATATATATATGATATATTGTATATATATATATTTATATATATATATATTATATTTTATAAATATTTATATATATATATTCACACACACACATATATATATATATATATATATTATATTTGGGTTTATATATATATATATTATATTTATATATATATATATATATATAATAACGCGCATATAATATATAAAAATTATACATATATATATATTTATTTATATTTATATTATATATATATATATATATATATATATATATATATATATATTATAATTTCATATAAAATAAATATTTCATGTTAAGAGCTTTTCTTCATCCTTCTTTCTTCTTGATTTTCCGAGGGGAAATACTTTACTTGCTCATATCATCTTTATATCTTCCCGAAGATCTCTGATTATCCATCATTCCATATATTTGGCAGACTGGTATACTCTTACAATTTCACCACAGTCAAGGCAATAAAGTCACTAATATATATATATATATATATATATATATATATATATATATATATATATATATATATATATATATGTTACTGACTGTTAAAACATAAGGAAAATGAATATGATCCGGAATAGAGCGCTTTATATTGAATTTAAATTTTAAAAGCAATATGCTGGAAGATTCCTGTGGTTTGTTTGTTTAATGGCATATCAACACCTCATGTGTCATTTAATGTCGAAATTTTATTTTGCTAATTCTTTCTCACAAAATATATATCGCAGATAGTTTTTTTTTCTAATGTAATTTATATTTTCATTTTTTGAACGCAGATTAGGGTTCCCTTTTTGCACATAACAACTTCTACCAGCCTCGAAAGAGTGCGAAGAAATGCGAGATAGAAAATGATTAGCATAGAACGTATGTTCTCATCTAACCATTTCAACTGTAAAGGGATGCGACCTAACTGCCAGTCTAGTACTGGGCTTAAATTTATAAAGCCTAAGATCAAATATCGTCAGAACAAATACAATGAAAATATTTATAGAAAAGGCACAGGAAAGCTACATTATAACGTTGGAACTCAGTAAGAGATTCCAGGTCAGGAACGATAACTTTGCAGATTATTTTTTTTATTCATCAAGAATATTTAACTACATAGCTGAAGAACCACACCAAATGTTACAACAATATTTAATACATAGACAAATGCTATACTTAAAAATGTATAAGATACTTTTTTCTTATCAGAATCTAACACAACACATTGAACCATCTTTCCTAGATCTAGTAATTGATTCAATATATATTTTCCACTTCATGTTCGTGGAGGCTGTTAGTGCCAAAAGGAACAATGAATTACTCTCCTGGTGGATAACATCAGCTATGTTGATAGAGGGCAGAGAATGGTCTCTCAGAGGATTAATGAAGAGCTTAGTTTAGTTTTGGGGGCGTTAAAATGGACAAGCCATTTTCTGCCCCAGTTAACGACGGTCTTGATGTTGTTTTGTACATCAGCTGCCATTTTTATCTCTTCGTACTGATTAGATTTACTATCCAGGCAGTAGTATATGGTAGTGTCGTCAGCGTAAATGTTGAGAGCTGATGTCATGAGGAAGGTCGTTAATGAAGATTAAAAACAGCCTAGGACCAAGAATGGCGCCCTGGGGTGTGCCCTCGTGTTAGTATAAAACGATGTAGACGAGTGACCGTTCACGATAACTTTCATTTCACAATTTGAGAAGAACGACTGCATCAGCTCAAAAATGTGTCCGTAAGTTTTCAAATTGTGGAGAAGATCTGAATGCCTAACTTTCAAAGGCTTTCGAGATGCGCAATTCTACAGCCAGGGCTTCGCTGTTTTTATCTAGAGCATGATAAAATCTTTTCACAACGATAATCAGATGCTGTTGTAAAGCCTAAAATGTTTTCTAACACGATTAAAAAAGTGATTTCGTTTTTAAATTGTTAAACGTAAGAAACCATTATTTGCCCCATTTACCAAAAGACCGTAGACCTTTATTTGAAATAAGGTGCCAATTTGATCTTATCGAAACGATCAGCCGTCCTGGGTCAGACGATAAACTACATCCAACAGCAATGGTTTTCATCAGGAGGTTTTGAGGAGCATGGAACCACCTCTTAATTGCCGGTGTTCCCAGATCTACCCTGACCCGGGGTGGTACCACCTGTTAGGATCCCAGCTATGGGCAAATAGTTAACTATTACCAGCAATATTTTTTTGAAAAAATTATTACCAGAAATGCAATTTTGAAGGAAAAATATTACCAGAAAAAGATTTTCATCCAGTATCCTGAGTAAGACGATAAACTCTATCCGCGTCCTGGGTAAGACGATAAACTACATCCAACTGCAAGACTACTGATCAGGTGGTTTTGAGGAACGTGGAACCACCTTTTCAACTGATGGTGTTCTCAGGTCCGGGGTGGTAGAACCTGTTCGGATACCAAATATGGGCAAATAGTTAACCACCCAAACTGTGGTCAATACATTATGAAAGTGAAAAAGTAGGTTTAAATACCAGCAGTAATGTTTCTGAGGAAAAATTATTACCAACAATACATTTTTGAAGAAAATAAATATTACCAGCAATACATCTTTGAGGAAAAATATTATCAGCAATATTATTTTGTAAATAATCATTACAATCAATACATTATTACCATTAATATATTTTTGAAGAAAAAATATTACCAGCAATGCATTCTTGAAGAAAAATAAGTTTTACCACTAATACATTTTTGGAAAAAATATTACCAGCAATAAAATTCTTGTCGGCAATAAATAACCCATTAAGGATGATATGCCGTAAAACAAAACAAGACAAACCAATGTATATTGAGATAGATAGATAGATAGATAGATAGATAGATAGATAGATAGATAGATAGATAGATAGATAAAAAATATTACCAGCAATAAAATTCTTGTCGGCATTAAATAACCCATTGAGGATGATATGCCGTAAAACAAAACACGCCAAGCCAATGTATACTGAGATAGATAGATAGATAGATAGATAGATAGATAGATAGATAGATAGATAAAAAACATTAGTAGCAATAATAATTTTGTCGGCATTAAATAACCCATTGAGGTTGATATGCCGTAAAACAAAACAAAACAGAACAAACGAAACGATCAGACTTATCATTAAGACATTTGTAAGTAGTTGTCACCAGCATAGATAGCGAGTTGAGAACTGATGACATTGGAAATATGATTGATGAAATTTAGCAAAGGAATGATCTAGAAGAGACAACATTCATTTTTTTCTATTTGATAAGAAAGATTGAATGAGATAAAAAAAAAATCGCTCGGAAATACCATAACCTTTCAAATGGTAACGAATGTGAAGTCTTCAAAATATCCAAATAAATCAGACCCGGCTACACCATTCTCATCTAAAGCTTGACAGACTCTTTTAGCAATAAATATTAACACTTTAGCAGGTGACCTATAGAAGCGAAAGCCATATTCCTTATCTGAAAGAAGATCCTCCGAGGTGAGATGCTTAAACATTTCAGAACTGATTACAGGCTCTATTAGTTTTCCAAAAAGAGGTAAAGTGTTAATAGGCCAATAGTAAGAAGTATTAGACGATTCGCCTGAGTTCTTGAAGACTAGAACTACAGAAAACGGTTTCTTGCAAGTAGAACAGTGAACAAGAACCTGTTTAGGAGCACATTTCTTAAGAATTACACCCTTGTGCAAATTAATCGAAACAACCGCTTTAGTTCCCTTTCTTTCACCATACAGTCAGTTTTAGACCCACGTTAATGACAGTGTGTAATCGATTTCTATTTATTCCTCAGATTAGGTCATTTGTAGTGGTGTACTGTAATATGAATCTATTTTCGGGGTGTGAATGTAAATCTATTTGGCCTTGAAATATATTGCGTCAACTATGATTTCATTAGATTTTTATCAAGGCCAGACATTATTGTCTCAAATGTCGATTAGCTGTCCTACAGTTATTGTCTGCGATGGACGTTATTCCAAGGAAGCGCACGAAAATTGTAACGCTGAGCGAACACACTGGCAAGCTTTACCAGTAAGTACATGAAAGTACTATCGTCTGGCTTAGAAACTCTCCTGATTTAAATCCACTCGAGAATCAGAGTTCAATCTGCAAGTAAAGTCTTTGTGGAATGGACATAGGAACGACTAACATGTGCAGTCGGTCATGTTTCATTGGAAATATATGAAAAAAGTAGATAACTGAATTATTCATTTTGTTTCAATTAAATTGCACAACGGTCTATTGAAGGGATACACCCTTTAACACGAAATTCATATTACTAATCCGAAATAAGGTCATGTAAAATGATAAATACATATAAATACTGTATCTGTTTGTATCGTAACATTGTAATGAAAACACGACATCTTCGGCGTCCCGGGTATGACGATAAACTACATCCACGTCCTGGATAAGACGATAAACTACGTCCAGCAGCAAAGTCTTTGATCAGGAATTTTTGAGGAGCGTGGAACCACTTCTTAATTGCTGGTGTTACCAGGTCCACCTGGGCTCGGGGTTGTAGCACCTGTTAGGGTCCCAGCCATGGGCAAATAGTTAACACTCAAACTTGTGTAAAAAATGTTTTAAAACCAAAAATACTTTGTAATAAAAAAAAAGTATTACCAGAAATAATTTTTGAAGGAAAAATTATTATCAGCAATACTTTAAAAAAATACCAGCAATACATACTTTGGAAAAAATATAGATTTCTTCAAGAAAAAATATTCCCAGAAATAGATTTTTGAAGAAAAAAAAAATACCAGCAATAACAATTGTGTCACCATTAAATAACCCATTGAGGTTGATATGCCGTTAAACAAAATAAACCAAACCAATCTAAACCAAAGAATACATATTCTATTCATACGAATCTATCCTAAAAATGTTGTCGGCATTAAATAACCCATTGAGGTTGATAAGCCGTAAAACAAACCATACCAAACAAACCAAAAACATCGTTGGCAGAAACTGATAGCTTTTTGGATGTACTAAAAATTGCAGGGAACGGGTCCAAAATATCCGTATACTACAAACCAACTTTCATTACGTCGTAGTGAATTGTCTTGAATGACTAGAGAGTATCTTTAATCACAAGTTCACCTACAGTAAGTTTTCCGTCAAGGATCTTAAAACATTTCACCCTTCTATAAGTACACGAACAAAAGTGATGGAAAGTTTGGTTCGGTTTGTTTTGTTTTCCGGCACATCAACCTCAATGGGTTATTCAATGCCGACAAGATTTTATTGCTGGTATTATTTTTTTTCCAAAAATGTATTGCTGGTAATACTTTTTTCAAAAATGTATTACTGGTAATATTTTTTTCCAAAAATGTATTGCTGGCAATACTGTTTACCAAGAAGTTATTGCTGGTAATAATGTATTGCTGGTAATTTTTTTTCTTCTTCAAAAATGTATTGTTGGTAATGATATTTTAACAAAAAATGTATTGCGTGCATTAAAACCTATTTTTACACTTTCACAGTGCCCTGACCCCAGCTCGGGGGTCAACCATCTGTCCATAGTTGGGACTCCAGCAGGTGCCACCACACAGGATCAAGATTGACCTGGAAACATTAGCAAACAAGAGGTGGTTATACGCTCCTCAAAACCTACCGATCAGAGGTCTTGCTGTGGGATGTAGTTTATCGTCTTACCCAGGACATGAATGTAGGTTATCGTCTTACCCAGGACGCGGATGTAGGTTATCGTCTTAACCCGGACGCGGATGTAGGTTTTCTTCATATCCAGGACGCAGTGATGGAAAGAAAAAACTCTAAATGAATTCGGCTAGATATTAAAAAACAAATAATTCAAAAACTCCAGCATCCCTCGTTCGTGCACATGTGTAGCTGAATCAACGTAAAATCTTTGTCCTGTGAAAAAGGGACAAATGCGTCACAAAAAAACTTTTACAAACTATATCATACATTTTCCCCCAATATCTATCTATCTATCTATCCATCTATATATATATATATATATATATATATATATATATATATATATATATATATATATATATATATGTACAGTAGCGAGCATAAAGATCAATTGCTGCCATATATTGCCATATATGGTCTGGTGCCCCTTCCGTTTGCCTCGGGGTTCTTGATAGGCTCCAGAGGCAGATATACAATGTAGTTGGCCCTGCTCTGGCGTCTCGTCTACAGTCACTTTCTCACAGACGCGCCGTCGCCTCCCTCTGTCTGTTCTACAAATACTTTCATGGAAATTGCTCCGAGGAGCTGCATTTGCTGGTTCCCAGACAACATGAGTTCCAGCGCCTTACGAGGCTGGCATCCCGCTCTCACCCCTTCACTGTCGAAACTCCTAAATGTAGCCGTCTCTTCTACTCCAATAGCTTCATGTCTCGCACCTCTCGCCTGTGGAACTCCCTTTCCCTATTCCTGTTTCCCTGTGAGCTATAATCTCCAGCTATTCAAGTGTAATGTCAATCGACATCTCCAGTTGCCTTGATCTATCCACTACCCTCATCCTTTCTTCTATCACTCCTATCTGATCTTGCCCTAAATTTTCTGTAACCCCTTGCGTCCTAGTGGCTTCCCAGCTTGCTTGGGGTGAAATGCTTAATATATATATATAGTCAAACCTAGAGAGCCAGACAATGCTACCAAGGTTACCAAATTTACCTACCAAGGTTTACCCAAGCGGATCGTCAGTGAAAGCCAGCTTTCCCTGACGATCCGCTTAGGTGAAACCGTGGTAGGTTTGACTAGGTCTGCTCTACGTTTGTATTGAGCACTTTTAAGTTAGTTGATTACTAGTATCGGTTTTTTTTTCTTTAGACTTTGGACCTGTATGCTGTACGATTATTTTCGACAGACGTTCATGTTGATAGCTCGTTCTTTTTTTTAAACCTTTTTTTTCCTTCGAGATTGGTTTGACCATAATCAAATCAAGAAACTGAAGGTTTTCCGAGACGAGTGCAGTTATATATATATATATATATATATATATATATATATATACACAAATAAGAGAAAGAATAAATGTAGTAAAAATCCACAGAATTTGCTTGAAAAATGAATTCAGAAGTACTGCTTTTAATTAAATTATATAATTGAATTTGAAGTTGTTACAGAGCATTAATGAAAAATTCGCTTGAGGATGAAATGGAACAAATGTCTTAATTTAATTACAAAATTAAATTCGGAGCTTTCAGCTTCCATTTTTGAAACATGGTTAGAACTGTGTTGCGAAAAGAAACATATTTTAGAGCAATTAATTTATAATATATATATATATATATATATATATATATACTCGTTTGTGCGCATATGTAGTCGCACCAACTCAACAAATTTAGTCCGATGAAGTCCTAAACGATGAAACGCGCCACAAGAAAACTTTTATACACTTTTTCATACATTTCCCCAATATATATATATATATATATATATATATATATATATATATATATGTGTGTGTGTTAGTGTGTGTTTGTGTTGGCGTGTGTGTGTGTATGTGTGTGATGAGTTGATAAGGAGTCAGATTCAGTGAAAGAATGGTCCGTCTTATTTTTGCCATTGCGCAAAAAAATACTCCACCAAATGCAACATTGTCATGACTAATGCGGGTTTGAAAACAACGGAATGCAGATTCGCTTTATAGTAGCGAGTTCCACTACATAAATATTCTGACTGCAGACGGTTTTTCCATTTGTCGGGCAGCCGCTCATGTTTCGAGGCAGCATTTAGTCATCGTCAAAAAGAATTGAGTGGAAAAGATAATCTGATGCCGGGCTAAAATGCATCACTCTTTTCGTGACTACTTCGCAAAAAAGCGACATCGTAAACATGACCGAAACTGATTCCATCACATATTGTACACACTCGCGTCGTAAGACACATTTTCAGTGTACTTCCATATATATATATATATATATATATATATATATATATATACATATATATACACAAACACAATTTGGAGCTCAAACTTATTTTTACAAGTAAAAGTAACTTCTTTCAAATGAAAAGGAAGTTTTTTTCAGTTAAAAAGCAACTT